GGCTATTTAAATATATTTACACATGGCTTGTGTATATCATATATATTATTCATACCCTCGGTGTATAGGACGCAAGCAGATTTTGACATCAAATTTTGGGGTAAAAAAGTGTGTCTTATACACCAAAAAATACGGTACTTAGATTTGACTGTCTTCTAGTGTGCACATTTTTGCTTGCCACTAGCCTTGAATTCACAAATTCCATGTGTATATCACATAGTTCAGCTGCATTTAAGCATGCAAATTAGCATGTGACCACCCTCCACTAATAGGAGTGTGACACACCCTCCTATCACTGCTGACTCACTCTATGCAGTTGAACCTAGTTTTCACTTCTCGATTTTGCACACCAGTGTTAAGACCTTGTGCTTGATTTTTTTTCTTTAGTGTATTTTGAAAATATTCAGTTACCAATTTTTGCATTTCAAAGTATTGTTTATAATCCACTATTGAGTTGGATTTCTTTATTTGATTGTGAATTCTATTTACTATTATGACTACAATGGCTAACAATGGTACCAGAGTTCAACAGCCCGTGACAAAGGCTGCAGGTGCAGTATTATTGGCAAAGGAAGTGTTGGCCGTAATTCGTCAGAAAATAGCTTATTTCATGCAGGAAGGAATCTTCCGATCTACAAGCAATTCTGCCATTACCTGTGTATTTCAATCAGGATGATGCAGACTTTGACAGCTCCCCCTTCCCCAATTTCATTGCTGTGCAGACACATTCTCAGCCTGTTGAAGCACCTAGACCTCAGTCACCATTTTTAGATTTAATATCACAGGTATGTTGTGTTTTATCTTTCTTACTTGTGTCAAATGATCCCTTCCCTTGCTTATTTACTACAGCATCTAGTCCTGAGAGTTTGATTTCCCCTTTTGCTTGATATTGGGGTCCATGCTGAACATTTTGCAGCACAATTACATGTGAGGGTTAGTATGCCATGCCCCCTATATACTACAGTGGCTCATGCACTTGCATATCATTGTTCAGCAAATTGTTGCTCGATAGGCAACAACTAAATTCACTTCTTCTCCTTGGGGTTTGGACTCCGATACCTTGCTCCCTTCTATAATAACTGTTGTCTGAGGCTTTCAGTTGTTCTTCAGAGGATTTTTCGGCTGAAGTCCATACCCACTCACTCACCAACTTGTCCACATTGTCTTTGTCTGCCCTTTCACTCTATATATGGCTCCTGTGATGCTGGGATCTCTTGGGTCAGGATGCTTTTTTGATATGTGCATCTCCTCCTCTCCCTGACTTCCTTGCAAGATCTTCATTCAGCCCCTTTTCTGAGATCTACAATCTTTGGTGGGCTCTCAGACACCGTGGAGTCTTGTGTTGAATCTGCTACTTTGCAAACTTCCCTATCTTCCCTTACTTCCCATTGTCTCAACTTCCTTCTTCTCCAGTTACTTTTTCCCATCCTCCTCTTTTCTCTCATTTACCATGTCCTCTTTCCTGGACCATGTCTACATGTTGTACCATTGTTCACCTATTCCATGCACAATGCCAGTGTTACTACCTTGTGGGAGCCAGGCTTGCTCATTTCTTAGAAGTGTGGGAGACTTTTACAAGTGACCCTTGGGTCATTTGAGTTTTGTCAGGTGGACACTCCCTCCTTTTCCTCACACCTCCTGTCTTTTCCTATGTCCCAGTTCCTTTCCTTCTTAAGAACCCATTTCCCAGCAGCATCTCACCACAGAAACGGTTCAAATTCTTCTAATCAAGGGTGCTATCAGACAGGGTACTTTTCCTAACTTTTTGTCATCCCTAAGAAGGCTTAGTCTCTCCCATCTGAATCACGTCCTCAACATGCTTTGGTTCACCATAGAATCCTAACTGCCTCTTAGATGGGTCTTTCTTCCAGGGCTTTGGATGACGAGTTTGATATGTCCAACACTTATCTTCACATCCCTGTTGCTCAGGTTTCATGTTGTTTTCTATGTTTTGTTCATGAGGATCATGTTTACCAATTCTATCATTTTATGAATGGCTGGTTCCATCCTTCACAGTCTTCCTCCTACACCCAAATTGGTAGGTCGGTATATTAAGGTGAAGAAGTCTGTTATTCACCCCACTCAATAGCTTGTTCATTTGGGGGTGTTTATCAACTCATATCTCAATTGAGCACATCCTTCTCCTCTTCATCTGCGATATGTGAAGTTTTTTAGTTCAGAAGGCACTTTCAGTGCCTTCTCTCCCTGTGTGAGAGGCTCTGTCGTTTTTGGGGGATTTGGGCATCACTGGAAGTACTTATCCTTCTGGACCATGCACACATGCATTCCTTGAAATGGGTATTACAAGTCCATTGGCACCTCATCAGGGATTCTCTGGACTTACAGATATTTCTTCCTGATTTCCTTCAGTTCAACTTCCTCTGGAGGTTAGACAGGGGCAACACAACATTGGGGGTATCTATTTCTTCTACCTGTCTGGTGCCTCATTGTCTGGATGGGGTGCTTGCTACTTTACACAGGAGATCTTTGGCCATTGGTCTCAGGAGGAGTTAGACATTCAGATCAACCTTTTGGTACTCCTTGCTGTTTGTTGGGCAGTGATTTATTTTCTGTCATCTCTGCAGGCCAAGACAGTTATGACTCATTCCATCCACTTGACAGTTGTCTCTTACATCATCAGTCAAAAGGGTACTCAATCCTGGTCCTTATGTTCCTGCACTCTAGATTTCCTATTCTGGGCTCACAGCCATTAAATTTGTTTGCTGGCTTGTCACATATCGGGTGCTTTCAATCTTGTCACTGATTGTCTGTCCTGTCAAGTTTCTACCACAAAATGGTCTCTCCACCCCCAGGTATTCTGATGGCTATGTTCTCAGCTGGATACTCTCCAACTGGGTGAATTTGCCTCTCTCTTGAATGCCTAGCTTCCTCTCTTTAGGCCCCTAGATCCACATCCTTTGGCTTTGACCATGGATGCATTCAGCCAGGATCAAAAGGACCTTTTCTTTATGCATACCCTAGCATCAGTTTTCTACCCCTAGTAAGTTATCTGATCCAATACATTCCATGTCAGGTCATTCTTGTGTCTCCTTTCTCTCCCTGTCCTGTCTCCAGGAACAACCTCCATTACCTCTCCTTCTTTCCTGGTCCCTCGTCTGGCAACCTCACTCAGTGGTGCTTCATATCTCCATTCCCACACTCTGGCTTCATGTGTAGCTTTTGTCTGGTATCTTGCAATGGGTTCCAGACTATCCACATATGTAGCATTTTTGTTGTCTCACTCTGTCCTTTCCTCATCTATGCCTGTGTGTCAACATAAATGGAGAATATTCCATCATTAGTCAATCCGGCATGGATTCTTCCTATCCTTTCCTTCCTCAGGTATCTATTTTTACATGATTGTCTGCCCTTTGCATCCACTGTAAGCTATAGGGTGGCTCTGTCATCTCTATCCTTCGTTTTCCTGTTTTGTCATGTGTTTTCCTCTCCACTTATTTCCTTTCCTTCCATATCCCATATTTATTCCCACTGTGATCCGGATTGTATCTTGTGTCAAATCTGTGCTTTACTGTGTTACGTGTCGTGCACAGCACCCTTATGTGGCTCTCATTCTCGTTTGTTTATCCATTGGAATCTGTCCATTTCTCATGATATTCTCTTATCATCCTTACCAGTTGGGTTCATCAAGTTATCTGTATTGCATATTCCTCTCTTTCTCTTGAATCATGCCAATTGTTCTGTGTATCATCCCATCTGATCTGTCACCACCCAATGCCCTTTGCTGCTCATTTCCTTCATTCTCTGGAGGAGATTACCCAGTCCAGCATGTGAATCACTCCACACACCTTAGTGTCATGCTACTTACACCATCTGGCAGTTTCCTGTTCAGCTGGATATCATCCTTCCTCTGGAGCCCTTCTCCATACGTTGGTCCAACTCTGAGTGGAGAAGTTATTTTGGTTTCATTTTTTAGGGGTCTGCTTCACATGTTATAGATTGACATTGGCATTTGGATTTTGTCTGATAGATGAGATATCCCCAATGCATTTGGGTGCTATTACCACAGACATTATCCATTATGACAACAAGTTGACAACCAAGATCGATAACAGTATTGAGATATATATATATATATTTTATGATTAACTGTTCAGGAGAGATACAGAGCATGACAGACAGATGTTTGACTATTATATATATATATAGATAATATTGATCTCATCATATTCATCATATACAAAAAATGTATACACACTGTTTTTTCAGGGCACAGAAACATATACTATTTCACATATTTTTATACTTTGTTAACAATTCAATCCTATAAGAGTCTTATGAAAGATCTTGTAGGTGATGTATAAGATGCTCTGTAATGAATTAAGACACACTGTGATATAAGATTCATTTATAGTACAATCTTATCATAAGTTTATACAAAATACTGCAAATGGTCCTACGGGAGCCCTTTTGAAAATTTAAGCACAAGTCCTATATAACACACAGTCGTATAGAATTTGTATTTGTATATGTGTATTTTCATAGTTTTATACAGAAAAAGCTTGTTATTACTCGCATAAAATATTCTAGTTCGAATTGAAACACTAATCTGATAGCATGGTTTACATACTGAATCTAGGCATCCTTAAATTTCTAAAGACTGCCACAGGCATAAGCCTGAAGTTTTGAACCCAAAATGCTCTACAACTTGTCTTATTCAGCTTATGCCATTCTATAGGATTTTATTTTTTTTCTTTTCGGTTTATTTTTACATCACACAGGAGTGAAATTTTGAACCCATTAATATTCTATCAAATTTATCCTATATACTTTTTATGACATTGTTTCAGATTGATGGTTGAACCCAATAATGCTGTCATTTCCAAATTCTGTAAGAGTATAACTATAGTTTTTTAGGCTGATCTCTAAAGATTTGTATAACATTTTTGTAAGGGAAAGTTTCAGTTGTTGTCAGAATATTTCAAATTTCTCTTTATAGAAACCCTGCAGTGGCTGACATATCTTAACAGTGCATCCTCAGATGATATAAAAATATCAAAAACAACAAATTTATTTCCATGTACTTAACTGATGGTAAATCAATTCTCTCTCTAGTTTCAACAAAAGTGACTAGATAATTCTACATAAACAAAACAAGTACATTTTTAGCTGTCACATCTTCCCTGTGAGCAGCAGTAATCTTGATTATTTAGTTTTCGAATTACTGTTACAATTACCATGTTTTATATTTTGTACTACATGAGGATAGTTCAGTGTATTATAACATATAGGTAGTAGTGCTTTCCATATTTAAGTTATTTGCATTGACCTTACGCTGGTATATCAACCAATAAATTATGTATTGAAAACCATATCAATAGAAATTCAAAATCCTGAAGCGTATCAATCTTTTCAACTTGATGAATAGTAGAAAATTACTGAAACCTTTTCCTCTTTATTTGAAAAAATACATTATTTTGGTATTTATAGTATAGATGTGTGATTATTTGCTTTATCTTTTAACACAGAATTTATTTTTTATAATTTTTGTTTCGCTTTATATGATCATCTATATCGAAATGAGTTATATAGACTTGCATTAAATTGCCTATCTTACAAAACCATCAGAAATTCTGATACGACACTTTGCAGACGAAAGAAAGTCGACTGTCCACAGTTGAGTTTTAAAAAAATGTGACATAACTTTGAACAAAAGAAATATTGAAAGTTTTCTATCTAATATTAACAGATGAAATAATTTTATATAATGATATTTATTTTTTCACTCTTTAAATATGATAAATGCTCTTCTTGTTAATAAAAATAACATTTTTACTTTGATACAGAAATGGGTATTACACATTTGTTTTACATTATATACAGTTCTCTACTGTACTGAACTGAGTATAGGTGGAGACCAGTTTGGAGCTTACTTGCAATATTTGTTAAGTTCTATAAGGAATCTCACTCTAATAAGATAATTGAATACTTTTTAAGTCTGAAATGAATGCTCAGTTTCTAGTTTAAAATGATCAAGTATTGCTGTTTATATTTACCTTTATAAATGCTTTATGCTGGCCATTATGCATGTTACATAATAGGTAGGTATGCATCTGTAGATCACTAAGATTGGTGCATATTTTGAATACAATTCAGAAGTGATATGTGTATACAAGGTTTATATAATTTAATGATCAAGACATCAATCCATTTATAAACAAGAGCCCAATGACACAAAATAATTTTTTAAGAAGTTTACATGACTTTCATTTGTGAAATTAAAAAGTTAATATAAAGTGATCACATGTCAAAGAATTTTCTTATAAACTTTGAATTATTGTAGGATCTGAGATATGAAGAAAAGATTAGTTGCCAAGCTATGTTTCAGTTACAGTTAAAACACAAATCATTTCATAATACCTAAAATACTTTTTTTATCAATATCTAGCCAAACGTCTTGGGGAAAAATGTGACAGTAATGAGCAGTGCATCTTTGTCAACCAAAATTCTGCCTGTTCTGTGGAGAAACATATATGTGTGTGTTGCAAGAGTTTCATGTGGTCTGATGTGCTAAAAAGATGTGTTAAGAAAGGTAAGAATTTTAGAATTTTTTGTGTTCTTTAGATATATGAAAAGTTAGTTAAACTCTTTTCTGTACCCAAGGCACATAAAACCAATGCTTTTGAACTGTGGCTGCCACAAGTGAATGAGAATGGTGACTCATTCCACCTTGACAGAATGTCAGTCCAATGCAGGTTAACTCCCACCTAAGAGTTAGGTACCCATCATACAGATGGGTAGACTGGAACAAGTGGGGTAAAGTAGGCCTTTCATGGTGATTAAACATTTCATTGTGGTGCCAATTATTTTCTCCCATTTTATTTGTGCATGGGGATGTGCTAAATAGAACTTGAATCTCGAATAGTTCTGGACTCTTGGAAGTCTGGAACTATTTTCACATTATCTGAGTCCAAAATCAAACTTTGTTTCCAGGAGTTTAATGTCAGATTCAACACTTCATGTTTTTTCAGGAATGAAGCACAGTGGTTGTAGAACATGTTACTAATTTTGTGCCATTTTGTTTTTCTTCTTTCTCTCAATTCAACTAATCAGTGAGGGGGTTTAGACTTGGACGGGACCAAAGGCAGTGAGTTCAAGCAATACTATCAAATGGTTGTTGATATCATGTGATTGTTAGCATGCATTCCTTGCTGTGAAAGTAAATAAATATTGCCTCCATTTCCTGGTACAAACTGTAGTGAAGTTAGGTTAGGAACACCAAAAGGCCTTTGCTTATCATTGTACAGTGATGTAGTGATGAGAAGACTAGACATATTTTGAAACAACGTGCTTGGACTATTGATATTGCAATGATTATTTTGATTTTACTTTCATTCATTTCAAGAAACCAGGAACATTGAGAGCCAGCATGGGCCCCGGGGCAAACATCCTCGCCAGGCCCCCTCTCTCTCTCTTTTTTAACATTTTCAAGAATTCATTAAAAAGAAAATCCTAAATTAGGACAGCAACGAGCTCATAAACTAGACAAAATCATAGCAGCAGCCATTTTTACCTCACAGTATAAGCGTAAAAACGTTAATAAAGTAACAACAAATATCTATTAAATCTATAAAGTAACAACAAATATCTATTAAATCTATAATGTAACAACAAATATCTACTAAATTGGCATAACCAGGTTTCATTTGCCCTGTCTTTCAATTTTGTTACATGAACTTACAATATGCAATAGATTGTAAATTACTGTTGTTTTGATTATATGATTCATAAACTGTGTAATCAAAATTTATTAATACTTAGCAGCACATATTGTAATTATTATACATGTATAATAAGTTATAGTTATTTTTCATAATTTCAAAATATTGCATATGTTAATAACAGTTTACCTTATACCAAGCTAAAGCTACAATTTCATTTAAACTTAAGGTGGGCACAAAGGTATATATAGGTATATGTATATATATTATAAGTTAGGTACTTTGATATACTAATTGCAAAATAAGAAAATTGTTTATAAACATGTTGAACTTCAAACCATTTCAGACCTACTTTATTATTTTGATCTTATACATCTGACAAGATTTGTTAAAAAAAGCTGAATGTCTAAATGCATCTTCTGCTCTTTACTTCAGACAAGCTTTGTACTTTAATTATGAATTTATAAAATAAAAAAATATATATTAAACTCTACTTTTTTTTTATGTTTTAATGTTCTTGTAGTTTCATTTGAAAGCCAAAACTGTGATGATTATTTAAAGTAATTAACACTTACTAAAAAACTGTTTTGAAGTACTTTTTTTTATTCTTTTTTCCACAATTTATTCTTGCATTATGTTGTTAGCTTTTCTATAAATCTCAGAAGTGCAGCTCCTGTTACATTAATTACTTAAGTTTTCTAAAGTTTAAGATGCTTTGGATATTACTTTTTGTTTTAAATATTAAAAATAAAAATTACTAATTCAATTTTGGACAGTATAATTTTAATGTTTTTTAACTTTTAAATTGTTGTCTTATGATCGTATTTCATATTAAATTTAACTAATAAGTTTGTAATGAATTAGCTCAATTTATATTTCAGCTCTCTGAATTCTGCAGATTTATTACTTTTTTAGTATCAATTATACATTTAAGTTTATGTATGTATTAAGAAATTACTCATGATTTTTTTCAACAATTCTGTTAACTTTTCTGTAGTTACTATCACTGAGCTTTTATAATATTTCAATCCAGACATTTTCTTCTTGAAATATTTTTATCTGTCATGTGCTTGTTATCATATTTATACTTTACTGAATGGTCATATATTCAACTTCATAGTTACTCTGATAGATTGTTCATTGTATATTTTTTGTTGTCTTGCCAGATAACAAGCTGTTCATGTCAGCTGCTAAGTGAATTCATGAGAGAATAAAGAGAAATATTTGAAATGTTTGCATTTATGTCACATTATAATCATGTTATAATTTTAATTAATCTATCACAATAGATACATACTGAGATAGCACATTCTATTTTTATTTTATTTATGATTTTGTTTACCATCCATTTGCTATTCCTTCTATCATTTAGATGAATTTTTAAGTTATATTAAAGCACTTACTCACCTTTATCTAGAGCACATTGATTTTGAGTATATTTTTATTATGAAACGGACACAAGCTTCCCCTAGCAGTAATGTACAGATATTAATGTTGTGAAAGATTATATAGATTTATGGTAATAGCTAGTCACATGAGATGTAACCTCTTGGTCTAACCATTAAATAAAAAACCTTCCTTGATCTTAAAAAGAAGTTAGTTCACAAGATATAGTTAGAAGGAATTATTGCTAGTTAATTGTTATTCAGTATTGATATTGAGAAGTGGTTTAATTTTGGAATATTGTTTTCTTGGGAATATTGAAATGAATAGCATTGAGATGTATATTGTATTAACATTTGTTTCAAGTCCTGGCCAGGCACAGGTTTACTAACTGTTTTTTGTAAGTGATAAAACTTTTCATCTAGTTGTTTGAAAGTTTTTTTGTGGACTTTTGTTGTTAGATTTTAATAAATTGTATTTTGTTCAGTCCTGGTTGTAGCGACCTTTTGTTTTAGTCTGTTACAATGTGATTATGCTGCATGTATCTAGTTATTCTGCCTCCCACAGAATATTCATTTTATTGAAATAAAAATTAAAAGCATGGGCACAAGTTGTAACAGTGGGAATGCACTGAGTAAATTAATATGAATGATCATTTTATATATTTGTCTAATATGTAATGTTTTATTTGTCAGTCATTGCAGAAAGGACACAAAATGCAAGTGTTTCAAAATTCCTGTAGTTGCTTCGAATGATTAATCTTTTCAGTAGCTTACTATTAAAACAATGTAGTGCAAATAAATGTCAGTAATATTTTTAATAAAGATACATGCAGCTTTAAAGAAACAAGAATAGTGAAAATTTTTAATTTAAAAAGGGGAATAGGAATCGTAAAAAAAAAGTACCGAAACAAGTTGAACCAAAATGCAAATATTATATTTTCAAGCCTACAATTAGGGGCTCTTAAAAAGAGTAAGCAAACAAGGCTGGAAATAGTGTCTACAGTATTTTCGCAAGCTACAAATCCCTATTTTGACTCCATGTCTACAGTACTTATTAATTTTAGTGAAACATAGTTGCAGAAATCCACGTACAAACAGCAAACTCGAGTAACAATGAACAACAAATGACTCGAGTAACAAGTAACCTTTCACAATGCAGGAAAACACTGGAGTTTTTGGAGGTAGAAAGTGAAGGACTTACAAAATTTCCCAGCACGACAAAATTAAGGAGGTCAAATTAAGTTTAAAACTACTCTCTCAGTTTTTTGCAAACTTCTTGTGTGATTCCACATTACAGTAGAGATCACTTGCAATAATTTTATGATAGAGTAATAATAGGGATTTGTAGCTTGAGCAAACTGTCAGCAGCAAATCTCCAGCCTTGTTTGTTTACTTTTTTGTGTCCCTTATTTTTAGTATTAAATTCTCAGTTTTTAATTATCTTGTATATTGGCTTTTTTAAAGCACAGCTATGGGCAAATATATGCCTAGATTAAGACTCAACCCCCACTAAGCACGTATAAAACTTTACCAGTAGAAAGGCAGCATTTTCAAACAAAACATATACATTTAAAGCTTCATTTTAAATAAAACTTTGTGTCTTTTATAGTAATTATTTACTGAGCCAAGTGGTTTTGTGCCTGAGGTTTTGTGTAAACACATGTTTAACACACATCAAGTATAAAAGCAGCAGCTCAGACCAATATCTCATCTATTATGTATTTATAACCACATAAATCAACTTTCAGTGCAAAATGATCAACTTTTAATTAAATAGGTCACAGAAATTTGCAGTGCTTCATTTTGTATTTCTGTCTAGTTTTTGGTGAAAAATACTCAGCCAGTTTTGCTGTAGGCTTGTGAAACAATAATGATTTGAACAAATGTGAAAATTTTGATTTTGTCTACAATTGTGAAATTGCTTATTTTGCATATTATCATTGTTTGGGTGATCTTAACTATTGAAAGGAAGGTTTTGATTGTTGTTTCAACAATAAGTCTGCTTTTTAAGGTGGTTTTTACCTGAATTTTCTATTAGATAAAATCATAAATAATGTTCAACGTTAAACTGGTACACAGTTAAAAACATTTTATTTAGGCCTATCTATGCCCTTCAAAAAGTTGACGACTCTACATGTTTCGACATTACAACGTCATCCTCAGGAATGAATTACAAGACAATCACTTCCGAGGATGATGTTACAACGTCAAAACATGTAGAGTCGTCAACTTTTTTGAAGGGCATAGATAGGCCTCAATAAAATGTTTTAACTGTGTACTAGTTTAACATTGAATATTATTTGTGATTTTAACTTTATACACAAGTGCCAAAATACTATAATTATGTTCTATTAGAGTTTTGAGCAAATTCCTGTGTGATCCCTATTATGAACCACTATCACGAGTCTTGATGTACCACAACAAATGTTGTTTTAGGATTAGTCTAAGTACTTGTTTTTTGAAACTGTGATGAAAAAAACTGTTCTATAGTGAGCAATAAAAACCACTTCTGATAAAAGTCTTTGTGGTTGCAGCATTTATTCATTATCATGTGCATTAATTATGAAATTCTTATTTCATACTTTAGAGGTACTTTAAAATTTTAATTATTTTATTAAAGCCTTGAATAATCAGAGCTAATGTTTTTTGCTATAAATAATCTTGGCCTTTGTTTAGTGATAGTTGTGGAATGTTATAAAAAATAGAATACCATTTATTTTATACTTTGATAAATACAACACACAATTAAGGAAGAATCACATTGAAAATGTTGAAATACTTTGTTTACAGGGGAATTAGAGTTTTCTGATAAATGCTCAGAAAATGATGATTGTGCTTTAAAGTTCTGTAACAAGAACAACAGGTGTTCTTGTCCTGACAATGCCAGACTCGAGATCAGTGCTGAACTTGGAAAATCTGAATGCGTAGAAGACAACAAAAGAGGTAAACACTGCTTTCAACAAAGCATATTATGAATAATACTTACTACACATTTTCACCGATAGTTACCCATTTTTAATATCTAGTATCTCAGCAGCTGAATGTCACAGCTAGTAATCCTGTTTTAAAAGCTAACTTAAAAACTAGAGCTCTTTGATCAGTGATTTCTACAGAGTATTTCAGATATTAAATTATGCTGAGGTTTGTGGTATATAGATCTATGTTGGTGATATAACCATAATTGAAGGTTTAATTAACTGTGTGGGATTTTAGTGTAAATGTTGACTAAAGGAATTTATTCTAATAGTGTTTCTGTAAAATGTTGAAACATTTGAATAAGATATTTAGAATAAAGTTTAAATTTAAGATAAAGAGAATTGATGAGAAGTTTTGGCAGGGCAGTAATATTAGCACACTTGATCACTTTTGCTTTGAAAGTTACATATGTGGTTAATAAGTGTAAGGAGACATCACAAGATCAGACTGCTTAATTAATAGCCAAACATACATTTTAAGCTAGAAATTTGAAATACAGTGTTGATTATATTATATTAGAATGATTTTGAATATTTAAGTAAACAAGTCATGTGACAACTACAGCTGATATAAAGCTGCCTTGGAATGGCATGTAATTTTGTAGCTAGTGTGATGCTACCAGAAACTGACCATGTTTTGGAAGGGTATGTAAAAGTCCCTTTTGATTCAAAATATTCGTACTATCAAATCATAAAGATGTGTTCAGATTAGGTATTTAGAATTTTTACGATGAGGGGACATACTTTTAATTTAATGACTTTGGAGAACAAAGGAATATGGATTAACCTGGTTTAACAAAAAAGATTCATACGACAAGTCATATCCCAGCCATGGTAAACAAAATGTGGCATCTTTTAACTGGTCAAAATCCATGAACATAAAGATTAGTGACAAAAGCCATATATATGCTCCATGCAACGATAAGCAACATTATCAAGTATAGTACAAAGGTTTTCAAACTTGGAGACAAGAAAGTTTAGATTGTCCATTCTTTATTTTAAGTCACAAACAGTCTACTTACATGATGTATTAATGTTTTCTTTCATTTAGAATTAGTCCCCCAGTGCGACAGTGGTAAGATTTACAATGCTAAAATCAGGGGTTCGATTTCCTTTGGTGGACACAGCAGATAGCCTGACGTAACTTGTTATAGCAAACCACATATACTCATTTAGAATTATTAAATGAAACTAAATCATTTGGTTTACTGTTGACATGCATACGTTTTAGCAAACATTAAATCTAAATGCTATTGTTGTATGTTATTCATATCATCAAACAAGATTAATTTGCATATCTATTAACACAAATTATTCAGATAATATTAAAAGAACTAGAATGTTTATGGGGTGTATATGTACGTATATACTTGCATCTATTTGTTATGCTAAAGTCAGAGTTATAATTATAAACTGCTTGTAGTTTGCAAATCCCCCACATTCTGACTTTTCAATAACCTTTTTTATTGCATGTATATCTTTAAGGTCACGTTTATTTAAGAGTAAGTGTAACTAGTTTACAGTTATTGTCAAGTAAAGTCAATTGTGAGTGTTAATTTTTTGCTGTCTTAAAGTTAGTTGCAGATTTTAGATTAAAACTTTGATATAGTAATAAGTAACTGATATTCTGCCAAAACGTTAATAACCTTTAATAGCAAATTTACTGCTGAGCTTGCTTGATTGTATTGTAGCATGCATTAATTCTGTTGATAAGAAGATGCTACTGGATAAATTATGTCCATTATGAACCTTACAAAAAATATCAGAATAATTTGAATTGACAGATATAGCACACTTACTTAATGTGCATGTGTTCCAGTACATTTGATAGACATTTTAATATTTACTTAGTATTTCATGCTAAATTACTGTAACTATCTTGTAATAAAATGATTTTATGTCTTCCATGTGTGACAAGGACAGGTAAACTGAGTCTTTCAATACCTAGTTTTTTGTCCCAAAATGTTATGTAAAATATATCATCAAATGAAAATATATTTTGAGTGTACATGTGGGTAACCTCTACAAATAAGCTTAGGCTGTTTTTTCTTTTTTTTCACATATTGTATATATTTATATAAGGTACAAATAGTTTAAGGCTACACTGGTTTCAACACAAGATGATTAACATCCCAAATATATTCAAATATGAAAGCACATAAGTTCAAATTCGCTGCTGTAACTTGCCTTAGTTGAGAGTTGTTAGTCATTGAAATTACCTTATTTTAAATAAGTCCAATGATAGTAGTCAAGATATGAGAGTTGGTAGCTTATCAGCAGTATCACTTCAATAAGTTTCAGTTTTCTTTTCATGTTTTATGCTGTAAGTGTTACAGTGTTATTCAAATATAAGGTTTATCATATGAATAAGTGTTGAAAATGCCACTGTGTAAAGTTTAGATGAGATCATTCATACTTTATTGTAATCTTCATCAAAGCCAGTAGTGACATATTTCAGGAACATAGGATTAACATTTGTAGTAAAATTGTTACATTGCAAATGTTTTTTCTTTCTCATTCCTGCTAATATTTTCAATATAGAGGTGTGTAAAAATAGCATTTCAGATCTATTTTTGTTACTGCCAGGTGTTTTCAGTACTAGAACTTGAAGGCTAGGTTGGACAGTGACTTGTGAGATAAAAATATCTAAAATGCTGTTTTTTATGCATTTCTGTTGTGAAATGCATAATTGATAAATTAAGAGGAATATGAAAAAAATCATCTACAATCTAATGTGATTTGTATCATAAAGATTGGATATACTGTTGAACAATTAATGCTTTGCTAGCTTTTGACGTTGGAAGCGATAATGTTAAACTTTTATGCTCCATATATGAATGTGGTTTCAAATCATTACGTTTTGTCTCTCATTATTCAGCGACAAATTTGGAAATTGGACAAATGGGCCATGGGCATTGACATGTGTGAGATGAAGGAGTGATCTGAAATGCTAATTTTACACATTTCAGATTTTAAATTCATAAAAGATAAATTAAGAAAAGTGTAGAAGAAATATATGTAGTTCTGTTGTTTGCACTATTTTACTGATTTTCAATATTCAAACTGTAATTTTATAATTCTGAGACAATACTCACTTTTACACACAGGAAACTAGAATCTCCATGTGTCTGCCTTAGAGACTTGCATACCAACAGCTTTCAGGCAACTCCCACCTACTATCTCTAGATTCCTTGCAAAAGCCTTCCACCAATGGGAAAGCAACACAGCATCCCTGCACTCTAACTCCCTCTATGCTTTTGCACTCGTGAATTTTCATTCCTTTCCTCAGTATTGAACACATCAAATGTTGTTTTTCTTTGTAAAGTTTAAGAGGTCTGGGATGCTTAGGGAATTTAATTTCTTTCCTTTTTCTTCAAGCTATGAACATTCTAATTCATGAAACGTCTGTGTGTCTGGTTTTTTGGAGGCCAGATTCTTTACAGTAGGTGTCTGTGACTTGTTGATGATAAATGAATGGACATCACACACTCCACATTTTATAATAATATATATATTCAAAACAAGTAAAATGTATATACAAAAATTTGTTACACTATTGGTTATCACAGTTCTATCCAGAGCTTTAAATATTTCTCTTTTTTTTCCGTCAAAATCCACAAAGTTGGGTTTAATTACTTTAGAACATCCTTTGACAAGACAAATTATTATCTTCTACTCCGTTATTACAATATAAGGCTGTGATACTTACTTTAAAATCATCATTATAACTGTTGGTTACCACAGTTGTATCCAGAGCTTTAAATAATTGTCTCCTTTTCGTCAAAGTCCACACATGTGGGTTCAGTTACTTCAGAACACCCTTTGACAAGGCAGGTTATTTTTCTATATCTCTATATTCTCCTGAAGAAGAATATTCAACTATTCAAAGAGCTTGAGTTTTGGG